ATCCGTGCCACTTTGTTTGAAATAAACGGAGGAAATATAAGAATATCCATTAATTCGTAGTCTATGAGTCGAATGTTTAGTCACATAGCAACACTAATTCCCTTCAGTTATCCAGGATTAATCGTATTCGCTACAGTTTCGTTCCCGAATTTACAAGCGATTGTCAAGTCAGTTGCGGAAAGTGTCGTCTGTCCCATTAGAAAGCGTCGCGCATTTCCAGTGAGACGGTTCTCGTGTGTGAAGGATTAAGATTCTTTGAAATATGCAAGACCTTCAGCAGACAAAGCTGAGTTACATATCAAATGCTTAATTAATATGAAAAACGGAAACTGCGCGATGATCTCTGGCTGTTCGAGCAACTAAATCATTTGTCTTTAACTAGTCTTCCAAATACGAACATTTCCTCTCTCGGAAATGTACTCTTTCGTCCGCAAAGGATTAAACATCGTTATCTCGACGATTTCACGTTCCCACAGTCGCGACGATCGGCATCGGCGCGACTGTTCCGATAAAGAAGCGTTCGGTTGCGCGAGGATCGCGTGGCCGCCGGCTCGAATTTCGTGAATATCTTGATCGCTTCACGCTTCGGCCCGCTTTTTATCGCGACCGTCCGCGTGCCTCGGGTACACTATCGCTTAAAAACATTCCGTCGACGATGCGCGCGCGCTCGCGCGGTCTCCTAATTGGGAAATTCTCACCGACAACCGCGAGTTCGCTCGTCGTTAAAGTTCAATTTCATTTTAACACATTGCGTACCGGTAACGAGAAATCTCGTTTTTATATAGACTTAGCTATGCAACTTCGCTAACTACCACGGCATTGAGAAAAATATAAAGTTTAATTCCAATCGATTATCTGTTTAAAATATATTACATAACAATATATCTGAGTTTTCCTATGTATAGCGATATAAGTGGAACTTACTGAAAATTGCCATCACAATTCAGTTCTCTGAAAATTAGCCGGCACGCAATGTGTTAATGGTTCTTCGCTTCCGTGGTCGGTCGATGAAGAATTTTTTAGCTCCGAACTCGGGTGACATTATATTTTACAGAAACGTGGACAATTTCTTTCATGACGTATCGAACGAACCGAATTTTGTTGGATATATGAGATATAAGAAGGATGGAGCAGTTATTATGAATCTTGATTTCTCATTTTCTGGTTAACGAGTAAAACTGTTTCGAGTACATGGGTGTTTCGATGAATGTTTACGTGGCAGTCGAAGTGTTAAAGAAATGCTTCGATAGATGCACTCTTCGAGTTTCTAGAAAGGATTCTAAAAAAGGCAATGTTAACTGCTCGGTAGTTTCAGCGTTGAATTCTTGTTTACTCGAGGCTGATCGCAACTGATCGAATATTTCTATTCCGCAGTGTACTCGTCGCGACACCGTTGACACGGATCAAGTGATCGCGATGCTGGTAATAAAATTTCAGCGCGCGGAACGCTTGAAAACAGATGCATTAATTGCGATTAACATTCTTAACGTCTTCAAATAAAATTTCCGCTTGAAGTAGAATGCACAATTTTGTTGCATTTCTTCGAAATTGTCGGTAGTAAACTGGTACATGAGCGTGGATTATTTATTTTTTCAGACAAACACGTAATTCTTCGTTTCGCTTTAGTTTTTCGTTAGGGTATATACATTTCGCCTACATTTAACGAGTATACACTTCATTATTTGATTTTATTGCGCGCATAATGAGAAATTTTTCAATCTAAATTCCACACTTAACTGGTTCAGCAATTGATATATAATTTATTTTTATCTCTTGAAGGTTTTATACGTTTCAAAGAATCTTCGCGAAGGTTTAAAAGGTTTAGCATCTGTTTCCGTCGTAACTTCTCGGGAAATCTTCCGGAAGAGCGCATCGAGACACGTTCACACGAGCATAACGCGATAATAACGGAATTATTCGTCGGTGTTCTGAAACTTAACACTCGTAAAGCGCATTCCAGTTTTTATTCGGCGGATAACATTGTGCATGGCGCTCTTCCAACGAGAGGAATCGATTATCTCCTATACGCCGACAGTGCTTACGAGAAATCCCCGGAACTTTCTGCGTTCGCGGCTGGCAGGGATTTTCAAGAAACAATAAAACGCATCCTCCGTGAGAATCAACAATTCCCGATCGCGTTCCGTTTACCGAGACCGTGAACACGGCAGATAACGTTTTATTGCGCGTCCGTTCGCCGGGGATCGTCAACATCGTTGCCGGTTCTATGTGAACGTCCTCGGTTCACTTAACCAGTTAACTGTGTACGACGAGTATACGCATCATCTTGAAACGCAAAATGATATTAATTTTTCCAACGATCAATTCGTTGTTTCCTCAGATAAACGTATAATTCTTTTCCATTTCGCAGTTTCTCGTTAGAGTATATCACAGATGCATTTGCCTCGCGTTTCACGAGTATGTACTTTATTATTCGAATTTTGTTTTCCGTTCGAATTTGACTTTTCAAACTAAGTTCCTCGGTTCACTTAAAACACCGCAATAACGTCGAAATTCCCGCGATTTAACCCTTTGCACTCGAGAGGTGACTCTGTCACCACTTGACTTGATACAGCAAAACTATGAAGTTGAATATTCAGTATTTTAAATTGAAATTATATTTTGCAATGTGAAGTATTAAAATAAAATAGCTTCGTCGCTTAATTTATCTGCGAATTATCGTTAGATTAGTTTCAAACAGTGTCGTTTATGTTTCATCGGATAATGTCCAAATATTTATACCGAGAAACTTCCGAGTGCAAAGGCTTAATATTAGAAAACTCTAGCGGCACAGTTCTATTTTCCTCTTCGCTAAGTGGTTTATTTATCGCGCGCTCTAACAAGCATCAAATCGCTGTGTCGTTGTTCCCAGGCTAGTTGCGATCGTTGCGCAACTTCTTAATTAATCGGTTGATCTCGTGGTTATCGCGAACGTTTCGAGAAACACGGCTCTTTTCGAATCGAACTTGAACGTTACGGTTTTCGCGGAATATTATGAATCTTTCTGCAAACCTTAACAGACGAGAATTTTTAATTTTTGAGATCCTTTTTCCTAAACCAAATTAATTACTGGAAATAGGAAGACTGCACATTAATCTTTCATTATCTGAATAATTCAATTATTCATTTAGCTTCGAATTTAGATATCAAAGATCAAGTCTCCATTATGGATTCGACCGCAAAGGGTTGAAGAAACGTTCTAAATGCAGCTTCTGATATTATAATTTTTCATAAATTAAAGCAAGTCATTCTCTACGAAAGATATTAACCCTCGTGTAACTTTGAAGTCACCTATCAGTATATTGGTATCTTGTCGGTTTATTTCATATTGCACTGTAAGTGGTGAATAAAATAAAGTAATCAGTTAACGTCAACTTTTTTACGCTCAGGCATAAAAGTTTGTCATTGTAACTTGAAAGTTACAAAATATATTCGTTAGATGAAATTATTGAAACTATTGAATACATTCTTAATTCGTATTCATATGTGGATATTTATTAATTTTTTATGCCAAACACCGATCAGAACAGGAAAAAATTCGAGGCATTCTCTGAATAACGAGTAGCTTCAGAGTCGCACCGGCAGATTAAAATGGGACACCGCGTATAAATCACGGGGAACAAGGGAAATTGGATCGGTCATGGTCAGGCAGAGTTCAAACCTGTCTCGTTGGGCGCACGTAATTGCCTAAGGAGAATCTGATCGTCCCCGGTCTGACGTTATTTCGAACGAATACGAGTGGTGCTGGATCGGGCAAGGAGAAAGGGGTCGTGTATGGTCAGACACGGTCGTGGACGCCATTAGAAATCGAATCAAAGGTGGAGACTTTTGTGCGCGCGAAATCCTTTGTGGAAGAAACCAAAGGCAATGGAATTTTTTCTCGGCTTGTATCTTGCGAATAAAAGATAACGGAACATGCACAGTGTGGCTCCGAAGTCATGAAACCAGAAAGGAATTATTCTATGTAAAGACTCGAGCAGATAATGTAGAGTAATATCTTTCCATGTGACACTTTCTCTTTGAATCGTATCAGAAACATTGTGTTTTCGAGTTGCTTTTGAAACTCCAGGTTAGAAACAAATGTTCTCGGTAACACTGGAGAGAGAGATACTTGTTGAATAAACAGGAAAATTCGTGCTTCAGTGAAGATTAATTGGAGCGAAGACTGTCTTTAAGCTCAGAGTGCAAATGAAGTTTATTCGAAGAATACTAATTTCCTTCTTTCGAGGAGAATCGGTTTATCTCGGAGCGAAGGTGCACTGAAAGTGGGAATTCAAGGTATCTCCCCACTACCGGGTTCTCTCGTGTTGGTCGAGGCTCCGAGAGGTCTAAAATTAATGCGGGATCATCGTAATATCTCAGGGGAAGGGACGCGACTGATTTTTCGGGGCTCGCGTCGAACACGTGTAATCGAGGAGTCGGGAAGTATTTATAAAACAGCGGACTGCTTTGCTTTCGTTTCACTTTCTCGCGTAGGATTGCGTTTGATGAATCCCGTTTCCTGATTATTCTAATCGAATGACCCGAAACGCTTGATTTCTGACATCCTTCTCATCTGGTACGGGTCTCCGAGCGAATTCTATTATTATCTACCATTGCAATTGCTATTTCAGTATCTATCACCGATAAACCTACTAAATTTAATTTTCTATTTCTCAATCCATCAAGATAGGATGAGAACTACTAACCTTCAAAGCTAAAATTATATCTTAAATATTAACTTTGTCTTCATCTCTAGAATATCAAACACAAAGCCTCAATAATCACTAAGATAATTCTATTATCTCATATATAATATCTCCGTTGCAAACTACCAAACGCAGAACCTCAAAAATCACCAAGAAAATCCTATTATAAACTCTATCATTATTATTACCATTACCATTACAATCCCCGTTTCGTCATCCACCACCAACAAATCCAATCCCCACAGTTGCAAATTAGCGAACGCAAAACCTGAATAATCACCGACGAAGTAGAATCCATTAAAAATCTCGTCTCACCAGTCGCTCCCGGCGGCCATATTGTCGGCCTCCGTCCGCACAAGAAACCTCCGTCCGTCCAGTGTCCCAATTTTCCCATTAACACCGTATCCGTTCACGAGTGTTCACTGTCAGTCACACAATAATGACATTTTCCCCGCGTACGCGAACCGGCGCGGGTCAAGGTCAAGCCGAACCGTCGGACGTGTTCGATCTCCATGGGAGCGGCGGTCCGCGTCGCGGAATTGCGTTTCGATTGGAGAGGAAGTTCGAATAAAGGAGCCGAACCTTATCGTCGGCCGGCCGGGTATTCAATAATTGCCGAGCGCTAATCGAGGCGAGAGCCGTCGGGAACGTCTCGGCCGTACCGGTTCGAACCGGTCCGGACCACACCGTCGACGATTCGGTGAACGGCTGCCTCGAACCGGAAAGAACCAGCGGAGGCGTCATTCACGAGGAGGCAAAGACCCGGCGCGCTTCTACTGGCCGTTTCAAAAATGTGATTCACTATCAACGTGATTCTACATATTTCGTTTTACAGAGAATGATGTAATGGAGGCGAAGAAATGGCACGCTTGTACTGAGCGTTTCAAAAATGTGATTCTACATATTTCGTTTGATGGGGAATGATATAAAGGAGGCAAAAAACCGGGGCGCTTGTACTGGGCGTTTCAAAAATGTGATTCTACATATTTCGTTTGATGGGGAATGATATGAAGAAGGCAAAAAATCAGTACGTTTCTACTGGGTGTTTCAAAACTGTGATTCTACATATTTCGTTCTACAGGAAATGATATAAAGAAGGCAAAGAACTGGCACGCTTCTACTGGGCGTTTCAAAAATGTGATTCTACATATTTCGTTTGATGGGGAATGATATAATGGAGGTGAAGAACTGGCACGCTTCTACTGGGCGTTTCAAAAATGTGATTCACCACCGGAGTGATTCTACATATTTCGTTCGATGGGGAATGATGTAAGAGTCACAGGAAGTCATTCTAACTTTAAGCGTTTGGAAGATTCATTGTTCCTTTGATTCTCGGTGGCATTGTTTTGAAACGAAATTTTAATATGCTAACCTGGACTAGTTGTTAAGCCATTGGTATAAAATATATAGAGATCATCACCTGTTTTCGATAGTTCGAACAGTAGTTTTTGATAGGAACATTTATTTTTGTTGACAATGATGAGTTAGCGTGTATTGTGGAAATGTTCTCTAGAAGCTTCTGTTTGTGGCGAACATTTTGGTGCTCTCTTGCATTCTTTTCAATGAAATCATGGTGGTCGTAGTATATACTTTTAAAACACTCTGTACAGTACCGTATCGAGAGGAGCCGCCGCGGGGCTAGCGGTCTTGTGTGCGTTTTGTTTACTTTCAGTCACGCGATCGGATGAACCCCTTAACACGTTCGCCAGCGACGTCACGTGTTCCTGACGACTGTAATTCTACGTTTCGAACGCAAATATTCCATTTAAAATAGAATTATTATTATTGCACGTTCATCTAGCTGAATACCACCGCTTTAGGCAGCATTACTTACAATATAGAAATGTTTGAAATAATCACCATTTAATTGAGTGTATACTAATTCAATTTAGTTGATCATCGATAACCCCCACGGCATTCGACGCGTTAACACTGGAGCTAAATGATTCGAAATGGCTGATTGCTAAATTCTCCTGTCGCAATCATTGAAATGCCAACAGACTTTCCCGTTCATCTCTGTTCGTTCTGAATTACAAATCAACCGATCCTCGATTGTCATTTTTGTTTCTCCTTGATAGGTTTATTCCCAACATATATCACTAGAACTACCGTAGCAGTCAAAATGACTGGTTTCAATTTTTCCGTTTAGCAACTATTAGTATCTTCGAAGCGTTGAATATTCGAAATGATATTGAAAATAAATAGATTCATTTGAGTACGATAATGAGTGTCCGAAGAAACTGAAAATAATCTATTGTTGCGATATATACCTGTAGTCAACGAATTTCAGAGTTTCAAGGAAAACTCGCTTCGATTCAGACATGAAAACGACGGACACTGAATGAACGCTCGAGTGTTCCCGTTGAACGATCGCCTGAATCGGTATGCACGAGGATCCGCGGGGAATAAACGACGAGCAGGTCGGCCTTAAGACCGCGCGACGCAGATGAAGTATCAGAGATTGGCGACTTAAAAGGTGCTCAATGAATTGTTTGCGCTCACCTATCGCGGCGGTCGCAGCCGTCGAATTCGTTCCCCGAAGCAGCGCGCGGTAACTGCTACCTGGCGCCAGGGCGGTCTGGTTATTTTTCCTTTTCCGAGAATCTCGACGATCGCCCATTCACGTGCGGCAATTAACATCGACGCGGCGCATCACCTTTGTCGCGATCGACGCTTCGGAACGGCTTCGAAGAATTTCATACCGCGTCTAAATATAACTAGACCCGCTCCGTCTCTGTTCCCGTTGCGAGCGTATCCAACTTTGCGCGATACAAAGTGGAAACGAGGACAATTATCGTTAACTACTTCACTGCTGCTTTGTGCGCGGCATTCTCTTCGCTTCGTTCGATCCTTGTCTGTTTTCAATCACTGTGTTTATGCTTATTCCCGGTGAAACATCGCCTTTGGAGAGCGGGAAACTTCAACTCGTTCCTTTCTTGATTCTTAATCATTTCTACGGTTCATATGTTTCTTATTTCTACTCGCTTTACTATAAAATCATTTTCTGCACATTACTGTTCTCTGAATCTAATTATATTCCCCTGAGTGTACTTAGAATCGCTTCCCGAAATTTGCTCAAATATTCTTAATTCTCCTATCTTTAAAATAGGACATTTGATATTGAATTCTAAATTTCATCATTTTGTTCGGCCGAATCGAATGGCGATTGAAAGGCGCCGCTCGAGTGGGTTGAAATCTGCCTGAACTCACTTTCTGTTTTCCCAACGAACGTAAAATCCCGATTCGTCGAAGCCCAATGCGACCGTTCAGCATTTCAACCATCGATTACCACTTTTCAACCATCCATTACAGCGCGGGCGTTACACGTAAGCGAAGTTCCAGTTATAAATCTGATCGGGGAATGATCGAAGGGGGCAACGCGAGCCGAGCAACGCCATTAACCGGCTCGCCCGGTTTCCCAAGTTTCGAGGCCGTACCGGTGTCCCCCCATAAATCTTCTTTAAAATCAGACGCGACTCGGAGGGTCTGATCCAGTTTGGCGGCGACGTTCGCGGACCGTTCTTTCCTCGCGGCAGCTACCTCTCGAATTAGCCTCTTTAATCTTACTTCGGAGCGAAAGTTATGCGCGCGAGCGCACGCTCCGAGAGCTTTTCCTTACTTTTAACAATCCCCTTATTTCCCAGCCTTCTCCTCTCCTTCCCGCGTAGGAGAGAATTCCTCTAGGCGGCCGAACTTCTCGCGTAATTCGCTGAATGCAGTTGTATCGCGTTACTTTGCGCAAATTGAAGAGCGCCCTTCTGGCCCTTAGCTACCGGGCTCCTTCGTAGGTTTATTCTATGGAATTCTCCCTCTCGTCAACGTTTTATAAGGTCATTTTGGACCTCCGTTTTGTAGGTTCCTATCAAGCGAACGTCTAGAATCTAGAATGCATTGTATAGGAAGAATAATAATGCTGTCGAGAATCGTTCGATCCGTGTTAAGAGCAATCGAGAATTCTGACGACCACTTGGAACTTGAGAAATATACAAACACTCGAACGAAAGGATCTTACGGACAGTACCTAAGTACCTAAGTCGAAGCAGAACAGGGTAACCTTCCCACCAGCATTCAGATTTTAACCCTTTGAAGACTAAGAGAAGACTGAATTGCAGGCAAACGATTTAATTACTCGGACAGCGAGAGATTAGCGTGTAGCTTCTGTTTTTGCTATTATTTAATAGCAAATCTTGAAAATAAATAGCTAGAAAATAATCTGTTGTTAAAATTTTTATGGGGATTACGTATCAGTCGTGTTAAATCCTCGGCAGTTCTAGTGTTAAAGTCGATGGTTGAAAGTGTTTCTACCTCTGCAACTATTGTAGAAAATGCCCTTCAATCGTTCGCAACAATTAATTTTCTTCCCTGCACCCCTTAGTTTCAGAAATCTACAAAATACACTTTCAACCCTCAACGATAAGTGGTGCTTTCACCCTTCAAAGTGTACGTTGCCCAAGAAAAGGTACGTGTTGGATATTTTCCCGAGAAGCACGTTTCACGCGAGTTTCATCAAAATCGGCGTGTGCCGATCGAAAGGGTTCCTTCGTTAGCAAGACAGAGGATGCCGTCGCCGAGCGGCGAGCCGAAGGAAGACCTCGGACCGGAAACGATCGAACCGTGGCGCGGAAATTCGAATTAGAAGCGACAGTAAGACGTGGTCTGGAATTACTGGACCCGGTCGCAGGGGTGGTGCAATCATTCTGGACGGGTAATGGCGGAGTAATGGGGTTCCGGGGCGTCCCATCCCCCCGGTCCCAGCGACTCGGCCACCGTCTGCGAATTTATCTCGACGTCCCCGTTCCTCTTCGTTCGTTCTTGCTCTTTTTTCATCCCCCTGGCCCCGGCGGGAATGGATTCGCGAATCGACGCGGCGAATCGAGTGCCAAGGATGTTTCGAGAGCGGCGCAGCCACTCCGGCTCGCGGAGCGCCAAAGGATCACGGGCCTCGGCTCTCGGCTCTCCCCTCTATCGGGAACGATTCGATTATCTCGTCGACTCGAGCGTTTAATTCGAGGACTCGTTTAAATGCATAACGCCGCGTCGCGGCTTGTCAGCCCGCGATTCGTCGGTTTACTCTTTTCCGCTGGTTCCTTGACCGCTTCGCTTGCGGAGAGGAGGATGGGAGTGGAAGGTAGTCTTCAAGATGATTCGTTGAAGCGTCTTAACGAAGGAGTTGACAAATATCATTAGTATCGCACTTTTGATTCTTTATTCTTCTTGGACGATTCGCAATAAAACCGAAAATTCAATACTTCTAAGAATCTATACCATCTCTGTCGCTATCTGGACTACATTTGAGGATAAAAGGAATATAAATACAGAAGATTCGTCGGTTTCCTCTTTTTCGCTGGTTCCTTGACCGCTTCGCTTGCGGAGAGGAGGATGGGAGTGGAAGGTAGTCCTGAAAATGATTCGTTGAAACGCGAAGAAGTTGACAAATATCATTAGTATCACACTTATGATTCTTTATTCTTCTTGGACGATTCGCAATAAAACCGAAAATTCAATAGATTCTAAGAATCTATACAATCTCTAGCTTGTCGCTATCTGGACAACATTTAAAGCTAAAAGCAACATAAATACAGAAGGTCGAAAGTTTCGAAGAGATCGATAAAACATCTCCAACTTGCTACCTAGACGAAACGCAGTGGAACGAGTGTAAGATGAATGCAGGAGGAAAGAAAAATGAGAGATCCGCGGAGAACGAAGTCGATCAATTTGTCAGAGAAGAAGATCATTA